TCTCCTAATTTCCCCCCTGCCTGCCTGCCTGATCGCCCTTAACTGTCCCCCCTCCCCCCCCCTGCCAGCCTGGTCACCCAACGCAGCCTGCTTGTTCAGTTGTTTGGTCATCCCTCACTAACACCCCTGTGGTCCTGGTCACCCCATGCAGCCTGCTGTCCAGTGATTTGGTCGTCCCTCACTAGCGCCCCTGTGGGCCTGGTTGCCTCACGCAGCCTGCTTGTTCAGTCATTTGGTCGTCCTTCACTAAGCCCCCTGCTGGCCTGATCATAGGCAGCCATCTTGTGAGGGAGTGAGGGTCAATTTGCATATTTCCTCTTTATTATATAGGATGACTGCCAGTGTGGAGGGATGCTCAGGGTCTCTTCCGAAACTTTGTGAAATAGGCTCCGGCCCCACCCTAGATTTTTTTTTACCCAGGAGGTCTGTAGTGGGACCCTGTGTTTGGACTTTTCAAATTGCCCAAGTGATTCTAATTAGAACAACTTAAGTATAACCCCATCTTGATACAGGCCTCCTAAACTCCACTCTAGTGGAGGACAAGGGTTAGTCTCTTTACACTGCCTAAAGAACGTATGCCCTCTTTTTCCTCAGGGAGATTCTGGAGGTCCCCTTGTCTGCAAGCTGAATAATACCTGGTTTCTGATGGGGCTATCCAGCTGGAGCTTGGCTTGCCACCAGCCCATAAGCCCCAGCGTGTTCACCAGACTCACCTACTTCTCCAGCTGGGTCAGTGAGAAGCAGGAAGCCACACCAAATCCTGATCCTTCTTCTGCTCCTCCTCAGAGCAAACCTCCTGCTTTGGATGACTTTAATTCTCTGGGCACTGTTCACAAGCCCAGGAGCTGCACAACCCTTGTGTTTTCACAGACCTTTCCTCTGCTGCTGATTTCCCTCAGGGCTCTGTGACAGACCACATGGTGCCCCTCTCAAGTTCTCACCCTCAAGCATGCCTGCTTTAGTGCCGATCGGCCCTGCATTCTCCTAAATCTGTCCATCTCTGAGCTTTCCTGTCCACCCGAGACCTGCTCTAGGACTGACAAATTAAAAATAATTTAACAACTTCCTGCTCCTGTTTCTGATCTATCAGAGCTACACACCACCACCCCCCCCCTTGGGCTCCAAGCTCCTCAAAACAGGAAGGTCTCCCTTCTCCCTGGACTGAGGTGGAGAAATATGTACTAAGACAATGAGTGGCTGGCTGGATGGCCATCTGGAGATGAGTCATTCTCTTCAGGGAGACTTCTAGAAGAGCTGACAGACACAGAGGCCAGGGCCTCATCCTGTGAAGGAAATGGCATGCCCTAGGACCTATAGGGCACTGATGGCCAATATAATGGAACAAAGTCCTCCTAAAGATGGACTCTGAGTTGGGGATGAAGAAGAATCTTCCAGGCCCAAAAGTCACAGAGGGTCTATTTGAAGTAGATTGTTCAGGGTCCCAGCCAGCAGTTTTCAGAGCTTTGCTCTAGGAACCAGCTCTTAGCCAATCCCTCCATACCAATAGCCTTGTCCTCCACAAGTCTCCAGGGACCAGGCCCACCATCTCCTGTGAATTTGCCATAGCCTGCAGTGGTTGAGGGTTAGCTAACCCAGTACTTGCTGATCCAGCACTGAATCCATAAGCCATGTCCTAAGCTGCCCCCTGCAAAAATGTCTGGGTCATAGACTCTTTTTTTTTTTTGAGTTTTCAACAGTTACAAATCTGAAGCCTCTGTTTTTTTTACTAGTATTTCCTTTGTCTCTATAAAACAAAACAAAAAATGTTTTTTTTATTATTCTTGTGTTTATCAAAATGACACATGTTCACAAACACGCTTATTTTTTATCTTTAAAAATTTTTATAAACATAAAGAAATAGAGAAAAATCAAGAATAACATAATAAATACCTGTGGTCTCACCTTTCAGAATTACAAATCCTAACATATAGACATTTTTACTTCAGTTTTAAGGTAAAATTAAAGTTTCCTTTTGCTGATTCCATGCTTCTCCTTCCCTTCCCAGAGGCAACCAATGCAGATTTCCCATGTCTCCTTCAGACGTAGCCATTCTCAGCCCTGGCTGCACATCAGGATAACCTGGCAATGTCTGAGAAACCCCTGGTGCCTGAGTCTCATACCAGACAAACTGGGCCATAGACTCTTAATTAATTAGCAGAACTCTCACAAGGGCCTCACAAACACAGCTCCCCACCCTTGACAATGTGGGAGCAACCCCCAGTTGTTGCAGTATCCAAAGTGTCATCAGGTATTCTGTGCAAATTCTTTCCAATCCTGTTGACACCCAAATAGTCCAGACCCTCACCAGTAGGTGAGAACAGGTGAAGTCACATGCACACAGTCACCAGAATCTTGCTGGCTCTAAGCCCTATACCAGGGGTGGGCGACCCCTGGCACGTGTGCCAAACATGGCACACCAGTAACTTTTGCTGGCATGCAAAACCCTCTCTTATAATCTTCCATTTACACTTTTTTTATTAATATCAACTTTTTTATTTTTCAGATAAATTCAATGTAGGTGCATCTTAGATAAATAAATAATTTTACATAACAAGTTATCTTAAAGACCACAGACATGAATTGACGAGAGAGAGGAAGAGCAATTTCTATGCATCTGCCTTAACTCTCCCTGCCTTCCTAGATCCGATCAGTGTTTTGGTTTCAGCCTTAGACACAACGGGTTTTCGTTGACAAGACAACCGCCTCACCTACTTATTCAAAATTTCACTCTATAAAAATGAAACCTTCTCTCTCACTTTGCCCACCGGTACTAATGAAAGGGGAATAAATTTCTATGTTTCTCTCAGCAGCAAAAGTCCCACTGTTAATATCAAACAGAGTCATAAAGTTTTCTGTCGTACTATCAGTGTACACATATACATTAAAAAATAAGTGTATTTTTCATCATCATATACTGTGTTTTTGTCGCTCAAATGAATTTTATTATTTCTTCAAGGTTCTTCACATACATACACCTTAAGAGATATCAAGTAGGCGTAACATGTTCTCAAAAAATTAGGGTTGGCACGCAGAAGAATTTTGAGTCAGAGATTTTGCTGGTTTTTGCATGCACTCACAAAAAGGTTGCCCACCCCTGCCCTATACCCCACATGCAGAGATTTTATTTCCAGCTCAGCAGTGTCTGGACGTGGGAAGAAAAGCATTCCTTCTCTCATGGTAACCTCAGTTATGGGGTTGGTCAACATTTGGTCAGTTCATATTTGGAGCATTGGCCACCCGCTCTCCCTAGAATGGCCACTTTCCTTTCAACCCATGGTAGCCCTTATGCTGGATCCTTCTCATAGTGACCTCTGCCTGTTCATCAACAGCCATGCTTCTTTGTGGAGCATGGAGTGATGTGAGTACTTGCCCCTTGATGGAGTTACTTGGGCATCCCTAACTCAGTGAAAGAAAATACATCTCCCATCCACTCTGCAGATCTGCCAAATCACAGCTCTACTTCCCTGATGCCTGGAACAAACCTCAATGCTCAGTACTTTTATCTAGGTTTGGTCTCTTTATAGATCTGGACCCGAGGCCTAGCATGGTTAAGTAACTTGTCTGGTCACATGCGTAATAAACAGAAGAATAGGAATTCTACCCAAATCTCTTGAGAGAGCTCAGAGGTCTTTGTTGTTCCTTGTAATTCAAGCCATTCCCAGGTGCTTCAGGCCCTGACTAGCCCTCTCTCAGGGCTAGAGCTAATGTGTCCAAAGTGTGGACAAGAATTCCTTCTGGTCAGTGGCAAGGAAAGGCCACAAATAACAAGACTGAGGTCGGAGTGCAGAGTGGATCTGCAAGGTAGTGAATCTGGGCTAGAGGGTGGACTAGAAGTGGCCCCTGTAGTGGGTTTCATCAGGAGCTTCCAATAGGCTGTGGCTCCCACCCCAACATTAACCTGAATGAGTTGGGAGGTGAGAAGAAAATTTAGATTTCAGAAACCAAAATTAATGAGAAAAACCTGAAGAAAGAGGAGGTTATAATGAAGTAATCTATAGCTGGGGGAGAAGGAAGGTCTGTAAGAAAGCCCACTCCCTATGCTCTGGTTCCTTCCCACCCCCACATTATCATAATAAATGCAGCCTGATACTTCTCAAGTGCCAGTGTGTTGCAGTGTGATTATGTCAACTGTTGTGTAGGTCCCTTAGATTATCAAATGATTTCTCAACAGAAACACATCAGGCCAGAATGGAATGGAACGAAGTACACAAAGTGATGCAAAGCAAGGGACTGAATCCAAGAATACTTTATCCATCAAGGCTATCATTCAATATCGAAGGGGAAATCAGGAGCTTTGCAGAAAAAAAAAAAGGCTAAGGGTGTTTATCATTACCAGCCAGCAATGCAAGAAATGCTAAAGGGACTATTGTAAAAAGAAGAAGTAAAAAGGGAAAAGAAAACACAGGTATAAAGAATAGAAATGGCTACTAACAAGTACCTATCAATAATAACCTTAAACACAAATGGACTAAATGCTCCAATCAAAAGACATTGAGTGGCTGAATGGATAAGAACAGAGGAGCCATAGATATGCTGTTTACAAGAGACCCACCTCAGAACAAAGGATTCACACAGACTGAAAGTGAAGGGATGAAAAAAATATGTTTCAGGCAAATAGAAATGAAAACACACACACACACACACAAAAAGGCTGGGGTAGCAATACTTATATCTGAAAAAATAGACCTCTAAGTGAAAGCCATAACAAGAGATAAGAAATGCCACTTCATAATACTAAAGGGATCAATACAACAAGAGGATATAACTCTGGTAAACATATATGCACTGAATGCAGGATAACCCAAATACATTAAAAAATAACTCCTAGAAGATATCAAGGGAGAGATTGACAGCAATACAATCATAATAGGGGATTTTGATACCACATTGACATCACTGAATAAATCCTCTAGCCCAAAAATCAGCAAATGAACAGCAATCCTAAACAACTCACTAGATCAGATGAACTTAATCGACATCTTCCTAACATTTCACTATGAAGCTACAGATTATACATTCTTCTCAAGTGAACATAAGACATTTTCAAAGATAGACTCCATATAGGGACACAGGCAAAGTCTTTTCAAATTCAAGAAGATTGAAATCATATCAAGCATCTCAGATCACAATGGCATAATATTAGGATAAATTACAACAAAAACAATAAAAAAATTCATAAACTTGGAGGCTAAATAGCATGTTATTAAACAATGATTGGGTTACCAAAACGATCAAAGAAGAAATAAAAAAAAATCCTGGAAACAAATGACAATGAAAACACAACAATCCAAAATCTATGGAACACAGTGAAAGGAGTCCTGAGAGAGAAGTTCATAGCATTACAGGCCTACCTCAAAGAACAAGAAAAACTAGTAATAAATTACCTAATTGAACAATTTAACAAATTAGAAAGAAAGAAGAAAAGCCCAGAGTGAGCAGAAGAAAGGAAATAATAAAAATCTGAATGGAAATAAATGACATGGAGATTTAAAAAAAATGATAATACAATGAAACCAAGAGCTGGTTCTTTGAAAGGATAAACAAGATTGATGAACCTCTAGCCAGGCTCACCAAGAAAGAAAGAGAGAATACCCAAATAAACAAAATCAGAAATGAAATAGGTGAAATAACAACAGACCCCACAGGATACAAAGGATTGTAAAAAAAAAAAAAAAATACTATGAACAATGTATTCCAACAAACTGGTCAACCTAGAAGAAATGAACATATTCCTAGAAAAGCATGACCTTCCAAAACTCAATCAGGAAGAATAAAAAAAATCTAAATAGGCTAATAACTATGGAGGAAATTGAAGCAGTAATCAAAAAAACTTCCAGCAAACAAAAGCCCTGGGCTAGACAGCTTCATAGGGGACTTTTACCAAACATTTAAAGAATAAAACCTCTCTTCCTCAGACTATTCCAAAAAATTCAAGAGGAAGGAACACTTCCAAGCTCTTTCTATGAAGTCAGCATTACCTTAATCCAAAAACCAGATAAAGACACTACAAAGAAAGAGAATTACAGGCCAATGACTGTGATGAACATAGATGCTAAAATCCTCAACAAAATCCTAGAAAGTCAGATCCAGCATTGCATCTGAAAAATCATACACCATGACCAAGTGGGATTTATCCCAGGGATGCAAGGCTGGTACAATATTCGCAAATCAATAAATGTGATACCTCACATATACAAGTTGAGAAACAAAAATCACATAATCATATCAATTGATGCAGAAAAGGCTTTTGACACAATCCAACATTCTTTCTTGATAAAAACTCTCAGCAAAGTGGGAATAGAGGAGTCGTACCTCAATATAATAAAAGCCTCATATCACAAACCTACAGCCAACATCATACTCAATGGGCAAAAACTAAAACCATTTCCCCTAAGAACAGGAACAAGACAGGGATGCCCACTCTCACGTCTCCTGTTCGACATAGTACTGGAAGTGCTAGCCATAGTGATCAGACAAGAAGAAGAAATAAAAGGCATCCAAATTGGAAAAGAAGAAGTAAAACTGTCACTATTCGCAGATGACATGATACTTGACATAGAAAACCCTAAAAGACTCCATCCAAAAAAAATTACTAGATTTAATAAATGAATTTGGCAATGTAGCAGGATACAAAATTAACACCCAAAAATCTATAACATTTTTATACAACAACAATGAACCCACAGAAGGAGAATTAAAAAAAGGCAATCCTATTTACCTTTGCACCAAAAAATTTAAGATACCTAGTAATAAACGTAACTGTACTCGGAAAACTACAGGACCTTGAAAGAAGAGATAGAGGAAGACATAAACAAATGGAAGAATATAGTGTGTTCATGGATTGGTAGAATCAACATCATTAAAATGTCCATACTACCCAAACAAATCTATAGATTTAATACAATCCCCATTACAATATCAATAGCATATTTCACAGACTTGGAACAAACTCTCCAAAAATTCACATGGAACTAAAAAGAACCCTGAATAGCTGCTGCAATCTTGAGAAAGAAAACCAAAGTTGGAGGGATAACGATACCCAATATCAAGTTATATTACAAATCTAGTCTTCTCAAAACTGCCTG